TTTTTAAATCTCTGAGCAGCTTCTTGTATTGCTTACTATATTATTATTCCACACCAGCTCAGTGGAATGGGGCACCATACTTCAGTGGCTCCACTCCCACCTACAGGGCAGGTTCCAGACACTACCGTTGGCAGACTATTTCTTTGCCTCATGGAAACTGTACTATGAGATGTATTAAATATCTATTTGAATCCCCTGGAAGCAATCATTGAGTGATTTTGGAACAAAGTGTCATCAGAATGCTAATGACATCCAAAACTATTTCTCATCCACAACTGATTCAGATGCAGCCATGCAGGTCCTGATTTAGTTTCTGGATGTAGCAGTAGATTAAATGAGGGGCATTTAATCCATTTTAAGCATCCTTCTAAGGATTCAAAGTGTGCAGTCTAAGGCTACTTCCGGATCTCTCTTTGTTGCTAGATAACCTAGTGACTTCACTGTCTTGGAAGTGCTTTTCCCTGGCTTTCTATTTGCTACAGGCTAGGTTTAATATTTCATTTTTAATGTAAAATATCACAAATATCTTTTGATGTAGTTGTCTGAAGTCATCTGAAAAGGTTCAAATGCTACTGAAGTTCATTCCAGTCATCTGGGCCAGAGCATTTAGTATGGTAGCATACACCATGTGGAACATTCACCCTTCTGATATCTAACATGAATCGACAGATCTTATTTTTAGGGACACACTGAAGTCTTTTTGCAAGGCTTCCTGGTAAAGTTCAACATTGCCATGTACTGTATGGATACCCCAAATATTTATTTTATTGTTTATATGACGTATTATATTATTACAGTAGATTCCTTTAAAATCCTTAGCTACCAATGGTACATAAATACCGTATTTGCTGGGGTATAAGACTACTTTTTTGCCCTGAAAAACATGCCTCCATCTTATACGCCGGGTGCACTTCAGTTGGGATAGACATAGCTGCCCATAGTGGCCTTCCGATGCTTGCCCAGTGCCCATAGTAGCCTCCCGATGCCTGCCCACCTCATTCTACAACCGGCCAGTATCGCGCGGTATCCAGTGCGGTCGCGGCGAGCATCAGCAGCAGGACAGGGCTGCCAGCCTTTTCGACGTGACCGGCCCGTTCTGCTTGGCAGGAAGCAGCAGCACTCCAGCCTGCCCATTGTCTACACAGAGCTCACACATGCGCACTCGTGCACTAGTGCCCGTCACAGGGAGATGCAGGGGTGAGCCGGAGGCGCTGTGGCCGTACAATGGTGACAATGAATAGCACCTTTTATTTGGTGTGTTGAAGGTGTGCGGAAGAGGGGGTAGTCTTATACAGCGAGTATATAACAAACTCTATATTTTGAGTGGAAGTGTTGAGAGGGTCGTCTTATACGCCCAGTCATCTTATATACCGGCAAATACGGTACCTGTAAACAATATTGCCACCATCTTTCATCTGTTCATATCATGAACAGAAGTTCAGCACTGACATAATGCTAGGAGGGACAGATGTATTATTAACACCAAACCTACCTGCTGAAGTTCAAGATTACCTGAAAAGTCTGGTCACATCCACCCACATGTGTTCCATTTACAAACACATTGGGGACAGTCTTTTGGCCCGTGAATTCTGCTAATACTTCCTGGATACTGGGACCTTCATCTGGAGAAAAAAAAGTAAAAAAGCTATATTTATCATGACATTCATTGAATTACTGATCAGAATAAAAAACATTATCTGTTCAGATCCATTCAGGTATAATAAATAATTGAGTAGATTTTGTATTTAGAAAACAGATGACTACTGCAAAATTGAAAATTTTAATAACAAATATGTTCTGCGAAAATGCATTAAATATAAAATCATAATAACAGAAACCTACTGGTACAAGAGTTAAAGGATTAGATGCATTATGTTCCACGTAGATATATGAGAGTCTACATATTTCCTTTGCAGAAACGTCCATGATAACAGTGTATTAAATCTGCTGCAACAGTAACAACAAAGAATTTTGTAGGATCTTAAAAACAACTACATTTTTATTTGGAACAAGCTTTTATGGAATAAAGCCAACTTTATTAGTTTCATCAGATGCAGTAGGCTGCAGGCCATGAAACCTTGTGCCAAATACAATGTGGATGTCTGCAAGGTACCTTGTAATTTCATTCCAAAGCATCTTGATGCCTTCTGCATTATATTTGCAATTCCATTAGATTAAACTTTGCAATTATGTATTCTTATTATTTTTAAAAAACAGTCACTTGCATTTCAAGTCTAACAGAAATACAGAGATTTTGTAAAAACAAAATTTAAAGATGGAATATCAGAATACTCTTTTAAAAGGGTGACATGATTCATCTGAGACCATGCTGTCTCACTATGAATTGATAAAAATGTTTTGGTGCAGAAACCAAAGACTCGGACTATATAAATGCAGTTCAAAAGGATTTTTTAAAAGCCTTTTGCTTAGTCACTGCACCAGGAATTCATATAAAAGACAAGATTTTACTTGTTCCAACAGCCTGGCTTCTCAATATAATATAATCATACATCTGAAACTGGAACGATTACAGACCTTTTTCTCGAATGTAAATATATTGTAAAAAATAACAGCGCAGGCCAGACAGAAGAAATGACCCCAAAATAAATAGATAAATAATCTACAAATGATAGTTCAAAATGGCAAGCAAAAACAAACCTTAGCATATATTGGCCCAAATCCTGTTGGGCAGGGCACATATGCACAATGGGAATATGACCAGCAATGGCAGATTGCCAATGATTAAAGACGTATGTCCTTTTTCAATTTAGGGTGCCTGTGAATTTTTTCTCATTGTGGTTCAGCCATATGCGCCCCCCCCGAACAAGAGAAATATTTAATCAGCAGCAATTGGCTGCTGACTATGACATCATTCATAATGCACAGGAAAAGCTGGACACTGAATTGTATGATAGCTTTATGCTGCTTTTTGCTTTTTCCCTCATGTTATGCTGTTACTGCCTTTTAAAATGCAGAACCATATGCATGCAAAGGACACCCATACCGCTTGAGAGCTTCTAATGCACAACTTGATGGTTGCTATGTGTCAAGAAAAACACAAATATCTTGATACCAAATTAACTCTGACGTGATTGTTTTTGATCCACACTGGCATTTAACCCTTTCATGTACAAATGTTAGTCATAATGGATCACTACAGGCCCAAATTACCAAGGGGTGTTAATGAAGTTCTATACTGCTCTGAGAGTATTATTTGGGTGTCATACGTTTGACCTTGACATTTGTGTACAGAATGCTCAATTAAATAAATCTAGGGATGCAAAAGAAATTTGTATTTACCAGATTTAATATATCTCATTCATGATGATCATGATCAACTGCAAAATGTGATTTATTTTTTGGTTGTGTATCATTCAGAAGATATCACAAGCAGCACATTCACACCCAACTCCTTCATTTCAGATTATATGAAAACAAGTCAAAATATGTATCTTTGAAAAATTTGCAGAAACATTATTTAGTCAATGGAAAAAATGAGTACCATTGATAAAAGCGTGGAACAAGACATGCCAAAATTTTCATGCAATACCATCGCCCCAAATCTTGCAACATAAAATGAAAACAAGTACCTGAAGAAAAGCATATGGGATTTGGACAACACAATGAAATCAAGCAATGAACTATATGACATTGCTAGACAAGCCTTTGGTATGATTCTGAAAGTTCTTCTTAATGTTCTTACAGGAACCAACACCTATCACAACATGATTTGAAGTGAACCTTTTTTTAAAAAAAATTCTAGGAGCATATTTTCCATGACAGGCAAAGAATCCTACACTAACACCTATATTCATCTGACTACAGTAAGGGGAAATTTGTTTAGTCAGTTTTTGCTGACAAAGGGAAGAAATAATTAATAAGTTACCAATTCAAGAAAGTAAAGTATTTGGAAAGGTGATGTTTGTAGTCATTTGAAACAGAAATAGATTCAGAAAAAAGTTGCTGTCCTTCACATTTCCATCAGAAAAACTTGCTGCCACAACATGCAAACTTGCTTTCCTTAAAATTTGAAATTAAATAAGGTCCTGTGTACAACAACTTTAAGTTTTTGTCTTGAAGCAACAGTAGTGGGGTGGGAATGGAGATATGTGTTTTACTTACCAGTCTTGTCGAGTTCCAGAACACCGTATTCTACTGCCAAAGAATGAAAGAGATCTTTCACCTGAAAAAGAAGTTTTGATAAGAAACTACAAAAAGGTAAAAAATATTACCTTTATTTTTCTTCAAAAATTGTACTTTTTATCTTATGGAATAATGATAATTTGTAGAAAAATAGAAGCAGCTTGCTGTGGTTCAAAGAACACTGGGTGTATGATTTAACTGCATTTCCCACATAGTTTAGAACACTGGACCAAAGGCATTTGCATAGATTTAGAAGAGACACTTATCAAATTATTCTTCTACATAAATAGGCTATATTTTTATTTTAAATTGGCTGTAGACATAGTATACTTTGAATTCTGTAAAGCTTTTGACAAAGTGCCCCATGATATCCTGATTGGCAAGCTAACTAGGTGTGGGCTGGATAGATCAAGTGTCAGGTGGATACACAACTGGCTACACAATTGTATTCAGAGGGCAATGATTAATAAGCCTTCTCTAACTGGGAGAAGGTAACAGTTGGGGTACCACAAGGCTCAGTCCTGTGCCCGGTGCTCTTCAATCTTTTTATTAATGACTTGGATGAGGGAGTTCAGGGAATGCTTGTCAAATTTGCAGATGATATCAAATTGGGCGGAATAGCTAATACCCTAGAAGACAGAAACAAAATTCAAAATGACATTGATAGGAGGTAGCATTGGGCTGAAAGCAAAAGAATGAAATTCAACAGGGATAAGTGCAAATTACTGCACCTTGGAAGAAGTAACCAATTGCACAGTTACAAGATGGGGGATACCCGGCTCAGCAAAACTATGAGTGAGAAGGATCTTGGAATTGTTGTAGATCACAAGCTAAATATGAGCCACCAGTGTGAAGTGGCTACAAAAAAGGCTAATGCTATTTTAGGCTTCATTAATAGAACTATACCGTATTTTTCGCTCCATAAGATGCACTCCCCCCCCAAAATAGAGTAAATAGAGTAAAAAAGGGTTCAGCCACCACCACCCAGAAGCCTCCCACTGACATTCTGGGAAGCCTCTGAACTGGCACCAAAGACTGTTTACTGTTTGGACCTGACCATTCTGCACTACTAGCTTTCCAGGATCTGCTTCCTGCAGCCCACCTGGAAAACCAGCAAGGCCAACAGGCCTATGGCAGCAGGCAGTGAAAACAGCCAAGGACCAAAGGGGAAAGAGTGATTCTAGAAAGACCAGGGGAAACCATAAACACAGTCCCCCACTTAGGGAGTTGTTTTCCCCACATTTGGGGAAATCACAGAGGTCAGCACATCCAAAGTGTAATAGATGAGCCTTACCCTGGGAAAACCACTTTTACAATAATGGTATCTCCCCTGCCAGGTATGAGTTAGAATGGCCCCTGAAAATTCTTCCCCTTTCTGTGCCCTATCCCCAAAAGGCATGGTGACACCCCAGCTGCACCTCCTGATCAGAGCAGGGCTGCACAGCCCCAGTCCTGAAGGAGGCCAAGAGACCTACTCAGTGTTTTGGGGTGCCCCACAGGACCC